CAGTAATGTCCTCATATCGGCCTTTTCAATTTTATTATTCTCCATTAACTACTGAATGTTTATAAGTAGTTCTTTCAAGGTGGGGTACATCCAACCTGAGCGATCACTTAGACTGGGTTCAGTGTTTTATCACTGTGACTAGGCTATCACTGGGTTTTCCTCTAAGACTTCAGATTGTTTTAGCCTTGAAAGATTCAGAGTGATTTTTGTCTTCCACTTAAGATTCTATCTAGAAAGAATCTTGTTTGATTAACTCAGAAAAAGTATCTCTCTGATAGAACCAGGCCAGGAAAGGGTAGCAAAAACATAATTGAATTGGGAAATAATCCCTACATAGTTGGTCTGATGTCATTAAACTTGCAACCTCATCAGCAGCAAAGTGCATAAATGATAATAATAATAATAATATATTTCTGCAAGGGCAGGTACACGCCACTTTTGCAGGCATGATCTACATGTTACAACATTTACTGGTTTATAGTATGCATCCCAAACATGGTTGTTTAGTAAACATCTATGAAAGTTGATAGCAGTTCATTCGTTCAGATACAATGTATTTTCATCGAAACATTTTCCAAAGGGGCATCGCGTCCACGATACATATCAGATCCAACCTCGACAAAATTGTGTTAGGATTTTGGTCGCGCTAAGTGTTTATGCAATGCAAATTTTAGGTTTATAGTTGTTATAAAGTAGACTTCGGGAGCGCCTGGTGCGAATTATGACCTTGGGGAAGCGCGTTCGTCGAGTTTGTTCTAGATGTTAGAAGTTACTTAGCTTCACCCTCAGAGCAAGATTCCGAAAAGACAAAAGAAAGAAGAAACCGAGGAGTAGCAAGACATTTGGATATGAACGATAACCAATGTTTAACATTTAGTAGTGTAACAGACTGAGGTATGATAAATTATTAGATCCAATTGACACTAGCTCAAGTTGTTAGAGTGAAATGTGATCAGGGGCTCCAGATGAGAGAATGAAGTAATGGACAACAATGTGTTGTGATATTTACTAAGGTGGAGTAGGTTCGAATGAAGGAAGGGAAGTCAAGATTGAAGTGAGAAAGACTTTATTAGAACAGAAAGTGCATGTAGAGAGTATAGTGTTGAGTAAAATAGCAACCATATCCTTTACAGTCTGTTTTTTTTCATCATCCGATGCCTGCCACACAGTTTCCATGTAAAAGTCCGAGTTAGCATGTTAAAGGTTGTTTTAGTAGAATAGATAATCCAGCACAAAAATTAGAAACTTGAGTCTGAATGGTGAGTGTAGGAGAACAATTCCAATATCACAGATTGATTGACTTGTTCTCATCCATAAAGAGCCTGATACAGACAAAATGTTCTGCCTTACAAACACGGGTGGATTGAAGTCATCGCCCTCATCATCAATGCTTGCTGGTCAGTAACACCACCCTCTCTTCTCTTGTGATGTCAGGCTCATTTAAGCTTTTTTGGATATATATCATACCTCACACAATGCTCTGTGTTTTACATCCTGTCGGAAAACATTATTTCTATAAGTACCATTTTACAAGCTTATCAGACAGTTACAAATTATGGACTGTGGGTAGGGCTTCGATGCAATGCTTAAATTGACCATAGTGTGAAGTATAGGCATTAAAATATTATCCTGGTGTACCGTATGGCTCACAAACTAATTCATCAAACCTTAAACACATCACTTATGCACAAAACGTAAAAGAATATGCACAAAAGGTACTTGCAAACATTTTCTTCATTAGAATTCATGAACCGTAAAATTAAGTACCACAGGCAATAAATGTGGAATCCTTTGAATGGTAATCCAAAATAAGGCCGACACTTACTTTGTTTCCTCTGGCAATGGGGAACACTACCTTAATTTTTACTCTTCCGTCAGTCCAGTCAATAACCAATCTTTGATATTTTCAAGTTCTTAAGGGACGAAAATAAGCATTGTACCTCTTTTTAACCAAGAATCCTCTTTCACCAGCCTAGATCAAGATCCTAAGGAACAGCAAGTTTCATGTTTCTGTAAGACTTTACAAAACCGTTAAATGTGCGCAATCGCTTAATGGTGGTCGGTTCTGGGTAATCCAGAGTGGCCGTCACTTTGCTTCTGAGGGGTCGGATGTCTTGCGCATGATCAGTGCGTCCTAGGAAATCTAAGTAATCGGTTCCGAGTCGGCACTTCTGAATGTTTACAGTGATGCCATGCCTTTGAAGTCGTTCGAAGACAATGTCCAGATGTTGGAGATGGGATTCTCTGTCCGGACTTGCCATTAGATAGTCGTCAACATACGCATGTACGAAGTTGAGACCTCGAAAAACGTGATCTATGAATCTTTGGAAAGTCTGGGCAACATTTCTTAGGCCGGAAGACAGTAAAAATTCGTAGAGTCAGAAGGGAGTGATGATAGCGGTTTTCGGAATATCGTCTGTAGCCAAGGGGATTTGGTTATAAGCTTTAACGAAGTCGATTTTCGAAAAGACAGTTGTACAGGTAGCTGTCAAATTGTGAATGTGAGGCAACATGTAACAATCAGAAATGGTGTTCTCATTTAGTCGCTGATAGTCACCAGCTGGGCGCCAATCGTTTCTGTCGTTTTTAGGGGCTAAGTGCAAGAGAGATGCCCATGTGTTGTTTGACGATCGAATAACTCCTCTCTCTACCATGTGACCGAATTAGTTTTTGCTTAACCTCAGCTTTTTGGGAGACAGCCGGCCTGTTTTCAAGAATACAGGTTTTCCTGTATTCGTGGTGTGATGTGTAACATTGTTAGCTATACAAGGCAATTTTGCTTGCGGTTGGTACTTATCGAGTAATGGTTGATAGAATGGGTTTATTGTATTCCTAATTGTAACGGGAGATAACCTGCAACGAAAAAAAGTTACGCCAACAGATAACTTAGTGTTTTTGTCTACTGTTCTCTGTTTGCGCGTATCGATGAGTAGATTGTGATGTTATAGAATGCCTATACCACGGAAACACCTGCAACACCGAAGATCCATTGTATGAGTTAGCGTAAACCCATGTTAAGATAAACGTATCGCTTACCGTATGTGTGAATTCGCTTCCATTTGCCGCCTGTAAATTGAAAACTGCTTCGTGCAGTCGGTCGTCAGAATTTGCAGGAAAAACGCGAACTTCTGTGCCAGCGTCGAAGAGATAACGAACTTTCGTAATCACATCAGTGTTGTAAGAGGGATCGCTATGTTCGCCAGCTACGGTTGCCGTAAACGCGTGCCGGCTGGGATGCGAGCAGCTCGTCTACAGAGTTGTTTCGAAGTGAACCTATCACTGCCTACACCTGTTGGAAAAGCTTAGACAAGAAAAGTTGTCTGAACAGGCCATTGTCAAAAGTACGTTGACCAGTGACCTCTCTCATTCACAGCAACATGTCTTTTGCTGAGCCATGTTGTAGATTGATGTTGTTGGAGAGTTGATCTAACCTTTGTCGATGGATTAGATCTCCATGCTAATGAATACACCCTTTTGGAGTTTCATAGGGTTCCTAGATAGCCCTAGTAATTATACTAGTGTGACATACCTGTTGAAATTTCACTGTCGTACCTTCACCACTGCGAGTAACCGTGTTTATGAGTCGGTCAACACCTGCTTGTGGAAGTCAGCTTCTGCGTAACAGAACCAGGTTTCGATGTTGTCGAGCCAAAGTGGTATTAACTTAAATAAGGGTGGCGAGAGTTTTGATTTTAAATAATTTATGAGTCTGTTCGGTCATGACGCATATAAAGCTTAGCAATGAATGAAAAGATACCTGAATATACTAAAAAAACATCACGATATGTGAAAATCGAAATGAAAATTAATACATAAAGTCTAAAACGCAACAGACTCACAGTTTACAAGTTTGGGTAACAGATCACATCGAGCTTACCAATAAAGACGTCACAAGTATTTAAAGTTTGACAACACTTTAAATATTCACACTTTTTACAATCTAAACGTGCTAAACCATCGAAATCAGAAGCCAGAAGCAAAGAGATTCGACGATATATTTGATAGAATAACGGTATATCGAGGAGTGTTTTATTTAAACTGATTGCAGGAGATATGGAACACGGAGTAACCACACGTGATCAGGTGCGGATGCGTTATTGAAAGCCTTCAGCTAGGCGAGTCTATTAAAACCAGTGTGGCCAGCATCAAATGTCGGAGACTAACAGAGCTATTGATTTTGTGGATTTATTCACCGCTACAAAACTAATGTCCTGAACATACCACCAGTATTGTAGTTTGACAACACTTTACTAGTAACACCTATAATCAAATCGTTCCCACCCAATTAAAACAGAAGTCAGAAGCGAAGAGGTTGGAAAGATATATTTGATGCATCATCAATATATCAAGAAGCGACTGTTTTAATCTGGATAGCAAATGGAAGAGTTGTTTCCCAGGCTGTGTTGTAATGTGATCTGGTGCGGATGCATGAACAAACGCCTTCAGTTAAACAAGTCCACTTAAAATGATGTGGTCAGAATCCAATGTCGAACACTTAATGAGCTACTGATTTTGGGGAATTATTTACAGCTACAGTTCTATGGTGTGACAACTGATCTCAGAAACTACATTACCCTACAAAAAAGTTCTCAAAATAAACTTGCTCCCAGTTACTTAATATAACGGGCAGGATTACTTCAGTTCAGTAGCGAAATAACCTTTTGATTAAACCAAGTCTCAAATGTAAAAATGTCGACTGATTTTTATCAAGTAGTCATGAAGAAACATAAGAGAGAATAACAAGAATATACTGAGAAGTTTGTAAGACTGATCTCTATATCACTAACATAATCGAGGGCATAATGAAGATATATCAAGGTAACCACTGGAATTTAATTAAAATTTTTGAAGTTTTAACGACCTTGACATCCATTGGCACAGCTGTTCAACATTCGATGTCCGTTTGCTTTCCCAACGCCACGACTCAAGGTCGAACAAAGCTGACCGTTGTTTGGATGGGGTTTTGGGAAATGATTTTCAAAGCTGGCAGTTAAAGCATAATGATAATGGTTACGAATAATGATGCCATTCAGTTTCTCTTCTCGCCAAAGACTTATAATATGCGCCAGGAAAAGCCTCGGCACCTAAAGTAATTCTATATATTGATACGTCTCGAATGTTTAGATATTTAAACGAATTTCGTACTCAACAATGCCTCCTGTTTCTTGAACAGCAGTGTCAGTTTCATCGTCCTTATACTTGCTTTCATTGGCACTTTCCAAACCAGAAACGGAGGCGACCTTTCAAGAGACCTGATGGAACTTTTAATTACAATCCGGATGTATATTGTGATAAATATGATGAAACAAGTGGATCATGTGCTGATGGAGATGAGTAAGTTATGATGTTTCCCGTATTTAAGTTTTTCCTGGTCCAGACCTTTCCCCTGTGTTTTGTAACCGACCTTACGTTCCTGTAAACATGTATTATTTAGATATGCAAGCGTAAACTACATTCTTTCCAAATTACTGATGTGTCTGTAACTTAATGTTTCACCACTGATATTAAGCATATCATTTTATCCTGTTATTGTTTTGGCGTGGACTTCATAAGGTTTAAGCAATTCTCGATATAACGCATTCTATGTAGCCGTGTATGGATGTTAGTAAAAACATCTAAGGAAGAGTTACGTTGGCTGATTATTTATTTAAACACATAAATATTGGTACAAGTGGGCACCAGATATATATGCGCCACACAAGGTCCTCTTAAATAGTAAAACCACGATTCTTAATTTTCCCCACCTAATTTCTTGATAGTTCATTAATGTGAATTTATATAAGTCTTCTATTTAGTACTATGGTTCTCAGTTTACTGCAGTTCTTAATTTAGGTTTCGGTTTATTGTAAAATTAGTTCAGCAATATTAATACCGGGCGGGCCCCCAAATGCCCTGGTACGGCCGAAAGTGGGGAGAGTCACCTCTCCCTCTCGAAATGCTCTCATATGGCCAGCGAATATATAGCCTCTGACAGGGAAGTCCTACTCTGCCTTCTCGTGGCGGGGGTGTTGTTTACGAAAGTGAGAGGACGAAAAGCGAATGTCCGGCGCTTTAACCGGGTTGGTGGACATGGAAAGTTCACCTAGGGGAGTTGGAAAACCCTGATTCCAAACCAATGGTGCACATGGGCTCCAGTATCCTGATGGAACGAATGGCGGAAGAACCTGTCATTGGTCAACGGCTACCATGGGACTGCATCTCCTCACGATGCTCCACTGCCTTGTGGATCAGACATTAAGGTCAAAGGCTCGGGGTGTGGCCCTCTAAGAAAACCACCTGTTTCAGTCTGGGCACCTGGGCAGTATCTCAGCCCTCACACAAATCGAATGAGATTTGTGAGGCGCATATTTATCTGGTGCTTCCTTGTACCAATATTTATGTGTTTAAATAAATAAATATACCGGGCGGAACCTCCAATTTTTGAGACTACCAATTCTTCATTTAGTCCATTACTCGCCTTTTAATGCTACTAACTTCGTTGCATATTCTGCAGTTGATATATTTAGCTTTAAGCCAATTATTTTTAACAAAAGTATTGCTTTTCTATAGCATTAGTATAAAATGCAGCTTTGAATGTCGACTCTCAAGTTCGAAGCAAAAATTTTAATTTATAATGTTTTATAATCGGGTTTATATGATTGCATCCGTAGGCCTGAGGAGTCGAGGTAAAGCTGGATAGTATCTTCAAAATATTTAGTTATAAAACTGTTACTAGACACAAAATTACTAGTCTCTGTGTCGTCATGATGGTAGTAAATTAAAGCTTCTTAAACACTGAACGGTTAAAACATCTTATTAGGAAGGTTCCTCAATTGTTTTTGATCAATCTTGCCCAGATCAGTTTTCTTCTTGTAACTGGCAATCTGGAAACTCACTTTTATGCCCAATAAAATCTTAACAAAATGTGGAAAATAAATAAACTTATGGAAATTGTTTTTTACATGAGTCATTATCCGTTCAACAACTATTTAACCCTCAAGGTTGGTACGTGACGAAGTCCGGTTTTAGATAACATCCATATTAAGGTTTGTTTTGCACATGGTTTCAGCACATTAAATTAGCAGATAGGAATTGCAATATTGCTTACGATTTTGGTGGTTTCGAGCTGTTCATATTGTTGAGTCTGCTTACTGTTTAACGATTTAAAGTAACCAGTTACTACATTCAAAATGTATCATCTTTTTGACTTACGACAGCCCTAACTCAATGCTAAATTATACCGTGTTGTCAAGGTTCACCATTGATAAGGGTATAAGACAACTTACCTGTTCCTTAAAATCTTTACTATGATAATAATTGGTTGTTTAAGCTAGCACTCAACAATAGTCTTTATATCTCTTAGTTTTCTTCTGCACCTCACAGTTAAGCATTACGTTTGCAGTCGTTCGATAGACTGATAGTGAATATATGATAGTTGTACCCATACATCAGTCCTGAATTCATATCCAAATATAATTGGTTTATTTTCCTATTTGCATGCTTTGAGAAAGTATTCGATGACATGATTTAGTACTTGATTCCTAAACAGTGTAGCTCTCCTCAGTTTGCTAGATTTTGGTAAAATTAGAAACTCAAATCTTCGGTCAGATGTTATGCCACGAAAATAAATGCTTCTTTCAATCATAAAAAGACATTACAGTAGTTTCCACTTGTTACTCCTTTCAATATATGAAGACAGTCTGTTGTAAATCGAATGGTCGTTAATTATCAATTGGTTTTTTTTCAGTATGAGACAAGATCTATGCTAATTTTACAAACCAGACGACTAATGCACGACGTTTCATAGATATCCCTTGCGCAATGATTAAGAGATTAAATGTAAGGAAAATGTATTGATGAAGACCTCCAGAGAATCGAAGAGTACAATTAAGTTAATCGGTCATATACTGATTACAATGGTTGTAATTTGTGGCCTGAGTATTTGTCACTAAACACACATTATTGTAAAAAAAAGTGTGTTGAAAGCCCACAAAGTAATATGACGAAAATGTGTTGAAAGTTGACCTGGGATTTCGCATTGATTTTTTTCTTGTAAGCTGCGTTTGAAGATTCCACACCTCCAGCAGTCGCACTGCCTATTGTACGGAGGTTTAACAACAGCAGGTTGTCTCCCCAAGGTAATCAGCACCCCCAGCGATACTGGCCTCCCATAATGCAAAGTTTTGGGACTATAAAAAGTTGCCTTTAAAAACTAAACACTTCATCGCCGAGGTAATCCTAAAAAGTACGAGGCTAACCCTATTCACATAAAGGCCATGTGACTGACCTCATGAGTCTGCAGTTATACTATTGAGTCGTTAAGACCTACCCTCTACGCAGTCCCCGTTCCATATACCTCAGGAAATATCCTTCCTTGATGTGAAAAACCAGGATGTAACAGCCGCTATCGCACCTTTGAACTCAATCCAGCTAATCTTGTTCCCAATTTTAGTTACTAGCAAATTCATTAAATTATCCCAAACATTTTTGCTTATTCTTGTAGATGCCCGTATGCGCACCGCAATGCTGGTGACACAGAACGACGTTATCATCCACGCTATTTCAAAACTGGAAATTGTATATATGAAACTATGGAAAACGGAGCGTGTGTCAAGAATGGTTTGCATTGTGCTTTTGCACATGGCCCTGATGACATCCGTTTACCTGTTTATGACATTCGCGAAGTTCAGGATGCTTCTTCAAAATTCACTGTTAATCTACCTGCTAGTTTAGAGAAAGAGCGAGTATTGAGTGAAGATCCCAAGTGGAATGGTAATTACCTTTAATGGGACGGGATGGTTGGTCCTGTTCTTAACTCTTTTGTTAAATTTGAAACTTTTAAAACCTTGTATCGTTTTATTGATTGATATTTAATAATTATTGAGTTTGCAGCCTAAAAACATTTTTATCGAAGTATATATTTGTGTTCCATTTAAATTCAAATAATTTTAAGTGAGACTATGCATATCGCGATCAAGTCCAGAAAACTGACTATTTTCAACCTGGATCTCATTACTTTATCAAGAAAGCCATCATCGTCAAGATATATGAGCTCACATGACTGTAAAAAGAGAAGTGTGGTATATTTCGGTATCAGGAACTTACATGGATTATAAAACCTACACGACTCTACCACTAACCTAAAGAACCCATTCATACTGTAGGTATTTCTCCGGGCTCTGAAATCTAACTTAGTTTATATATTAACAGTTCTTACAAATTGATTATTGAAATCACGGAAATCTGTTAAGCACTGAATAGATGTTGTCTTATTATCTCATCTTTTTATAACGGTTTCTCAGTGTTATATTTCTTAAGTACTCTCTTTTCTTTTATTTAAAAGCTCATTTTGACTATGTCACTTGTTTATACTAAAACATCTTTTATTCAGAAATGTTCCATGTACTTGGTTGTTATAAGACTGAATTATGCAAGAAACCACCTCGAATGTGTCGTCAAGGTTATTCATGTCCATTTTATCACAATGGAAAAGATAAACGAAGAGCTCCTGATAAATTCTTGTATCGCAGTACTCCTTGTCCTATTGTTCGACCTGGTGATGAATGGCAAGATAGTACTCTTTGTGATACTGGCGATGCATGTCTTTACTGTCATACGCGAACGGAACAACAATTTCACCCTGAAGTAAGTCAATAATGCGTTTGTCATTTTTTTCTAAAATGTATATATGTTACGTATAATGGTTAAGGAACCCAGTTTTGTACTTATTTTCTCACTATAAAGTGCCTTAAAGTAATTAGTGTCCCTTTACTAGAGATTCAAACTCATTACTCAGTTTATAGTCAAATATGTTACCATCAATTTATTTGGATAATTTTATAGTTGAATTCATGAGTCAATTGAAGCTAGACCACCACGGAAAACCTGGAGTCTCGCGGGTCGGGATCATGTATGCGCATTGCTGAGGAGTCCCACAATAAGACGAAACGGCCATCCAGTGCTTCCAGGTTTTCCATGGTGGTCTAACTTCAATTGACTCATGAATTCAACTATAAAATTACTAAAATCTCCACAAAACCCCTTCTGATTATTTGGTTAAATTAAAAAAAACCATTTGAAATGCAACGATAACATTGACATTAATTCCATGACTATCATACTCCCTGTAAACTACACATCTATAAACGTTTGTGATTCATTGTATCATTGTACCCATTATATTGCCTTGTAAATGAATCAAACTAGAATTTTTCATTGAAACAAATGAGTTAAAAACTTTTAAAAGTAAATAGCCTGATTTATTTAAAGATTGTGTTACAGTTGTTCAAAGTGAACTTGCCAAATAAGTGGATGTATATCCTTACTTACTTACGCCTGTTACTCCCACTGGAGCATAGGCCTCTGACCAGCGTTCTCCAACCCACTCTGTCCTGTGGATGTATATCCACTAAATAAAATGGTTAAATCGAAATGATCATATTAATTTTGTGTTTTGTACAAATGACGAATTCTTCGCAGATTTTATTTGTTAAACTTTTATCTCATTCAACTTCTTTTCTCATAAATTGCACATACACTTGTAAAACTAATCTGTTTAAGTACCAAAAATGATTATTTTTTTATGTGATCATTTATATGTTAAATACATCAATTATATGATAAGTTACACCACTGGCTGTCAACCATTGAAAATTAGAAAGCAATGAATAGCTGTTTTATCCTACTCAGTATAGGACTTCTCAGCGGTACGCATCCAAGACCAAATTGCTGAATGAGTCCTGGATTTTTCAAACCTCGTGTCGAGCGCTGAACCCATCATCCAATAGTTTTCTTCTGTAAATTCAATGAATGCGCAATATCGCTCTACAGAAAAATGCAATCTATCATAATTTTTTTCAAAAAAACTATCGTTATTGTCTTTTCTTTTTGCTTGCTATCAACTAATTAACAATCATCTGGTTTTTGTAAAACCTTTAGTTTATATTCCAATTCATCTTATAACTAAAAATTCATTTTAAAGAGATTTCGCCCGTTTATTGAGGTTATACATAGACATATATCCATTTACAACAAATCGATCAACACTCCTTGAGTCGCAGTAGTATTACTAGTAGTGATAATAGTCATTCAGTTTAATAATAACCAATAGCAAAAACTTCAAATATTATATTTCATTATCAACAGGGACTTTACGTGTATATCATTAAAGCTGTTGCGAATAAAAAAAAGTAATATTTGGTAGTTTAGTCATTCAATAACTGTAATCTTATGTAGAGCACGTGATAGGAAAATAATCAAGCACATGATGTATACATTGATTTATATCTAATTATATTTTGTACTTTAATGTTTGATCTAGTGTACATTGATTTTTTCTTTACAGTTTTCATGTGTGTGTGTGTGTGTGTGCATGATATCCATGTCTATTTAGATCATTAAAATGTTCATCGTTCCTAAATAATAAATGGTTCACTTTACAAAGTACAAATAAACATAATCTCTGTTTTTCTACCATTATTTGTTTTATTATTTTTATTGATTTTTATATTAAAATTTATCCAGACAAATTAGTTGTTCAGTATGTGATTAGAGAAGTATTATTTATAATAGGTGGTAGTGATTGTAATATGTTACTTCGTAAGGAACGTGATATGCCATGTATCAACTGGATTTAAATAATGCTGCCTTGTTAATTTGTGACTTGTAATATGTAATCTGATTATGGTGATAAAATTAGCGTTTAGCATTAACTTAGAGATTTCTTAATACAATAATCATTCATTATAGAACATTCCCAACTCTTCCCCCACTCCTACAAACTATAATGTTAACTCTGCTTGATATTAGAGAGCATACGTACAGAGATTCAAGTAAAAACCACTACTATTTTATTTCAAGGGTCATATTGTCTCAATATTTATCTACAGTATTAATTAAAGATTCAACGCATTAATGTTTACTTTATTTCATTTGTTTTCTCCGTTTATACCTTTAAATATCACCTTGATTAACTCATCTACTATGTACGTAGGTGCGCATGATTTCTTGAATTTTACAATTATTGCTAATAATAATTGATGTAGCTTCAAAGTAACATAAAACTGTTGTAAGGTAACAACAAATCTACTGTCAGTTGTCTATGTTTTAAGTACCGTTGACAATATAATTTGTTTCTTTTTGTAGGACAATATACTTCATTTCACTTGGTGACCAATTGACTGCTTGAGGCACTGTAAAATAAGTCGAAACAAATACCAATCATTACTTGTTGTTGAAATTGCTATTTATTTACTACTCAGTGTGCTAATACTACCCACCATTATAGATTATAGCTTACGGTAACAGTCTTTAAACTAGTATTTCTCCAGGGCACGGCCGAGAGTGGGGAGAGTCCGCTCTCCCTTTCGAAATACTCTCACATGGCCACGCGTATACAGCCTCTGCCAGGGAAGTCCTACTCACTGCCTTCTCGTGGCAGGGGTGTTGTTCACAAAAGTGAGAGGAGGAAAAGAGAATGTCTGGCGCTTTAACCGGGTTGGTGGACAAGGCGAGTCCACCTAGGGGAGTTAGAAAGCCCTCATTCCAAACCAATGGTGCACACGGGCTCCACAATCTTGAAGGAACGAATGGCGTGCAAATCAATCATTGATCACCGGCTACCATGGGACTGCATCTCCTCACGATGCTCCACTGCCTTGTGGACTAGACCTTCAGGTCAAAGGCTCGGGGTGTGGCCCCCTAAGAAAACCACCTGCTTCAGTCTGGGCACCTGGGCAGTATCACAACCCTCACACAAATCAAATGAGATTTGTGTAGCGCATATGTATGTGGTACCCCCTTGTACCAATATTTATGTGTTTAAATAAAATAAAATAAAGTATTTCTCCGGCTTCAAGACGATTATGATTATAGTGTTTTAATAGTGATGATAGCCTATTGAATATCTGTTTTTTTAGAATAATATCTAATATTGACAATGTTTGTTGTAATTAAGGAGTAGAAATACTCGATAGGTTTCAGATTTTTCTGTATTTGGTTGTATATAGACTTTCCATCAAGATTTTATTAAATATTCACCTCATCACAATATATCATATAGGTGTATGTTTTAAGATTTAGCATGATAACTGTTAATTTAAAAAAATTAAGCAAAATAAATAAGGCTAGAAAATTTCCTTTCTGTAAAAATATTGGCTACAAGTTTACTAATGTTAGAGATATGCGATTCGCCAAGTATTTTCGCACATACTTCATTTCACTGTATTATCTTATCAATTTCCAACTTAGGTCAGTATGTAATCGAAGTTTTATATTCATTTTGTTTAATCAGTGATAATTAACATGGAGTTCAGCCGTTTCATATTTCAATGGTCGTTTTATTTTCTGCTTGGTTGAAAATCATTCAACTTGCTCATCTTTTTTCTTTCATCCTGAATAAGTCGTCTTAAGACAGAACCGGGGAAACTGTAGTTTATGGACGATCTTCGAAGAGTACCAAACTGAAACCATTTACTGGGGTGGAAACATGGTTATGAATTTGTGTGAGAAATTAGTATTAGAAGATAAAGTTAGAAGTTGGGATCAAAAATCAGAGTTAGAATTCTCATCACCAACTGACATTATCTATAATACTAAAATTCTATTTAGCCATATGTATGAGCTAATTTCACGCAAAGATCCAAGAATCGCTATCTTAAATTTGATTGGGTGGTCCATAAGTTATAGTCCCATTCAATTCGACTTTAAGGGTAAATTTTCAGTCAATAGCATACTAATAATAGTAATAGTTAGCGCCGTTGAATGCTGGCCCATTGGTTTAAAGGTTAAGCGTTCGCGTGCGAGACCGAAGGCCCTGAGTTTAAGTCCCGCGTGCGGGGTCAACGGATGCTCACCACTAGGACGTCAAACAGTGCTTCCAGGTTTTCGATGGTGGTCTAACATTGGTCAATTCATGATCTCAATCAAAACTCAACAGCCTCTGCAACCCTATCCTACTACTACTACTACTAATAATAATAATAACCTAACTCATATACTAAGTGCGGGTACTTAGCCTTAAGTTCCTTCGTTTGTGGGTTTAATGCTACTGGTTTTATTCAGTTGACTAGTCTTTAGAGGTATATCAGGATTCGAACCTACAGCCTACTGCTTAGTAGCCGAATGTTTCAATCAGTAAGCCGACAACATTCTATATAACTTAGTTTCTCGAACTATTTAGCCTTTCGTTCGTGTAACTTTCATTTATTAAATTACAATATTCACTTATGCATTTTATCTGCTCTAATCGATTGGTTTATTGTGTTGTGTTTTTCTTTTTAACTATAAATTGCATATAATTCATCAGATATATAAATCGACAAAATGCAACGATGTATTAAATTCTGGTTATTGTCCACGTGGTCCCTTCTGTGCCTTCGCACATTGTGATTCAGAAATGTCAATTGGACGTGATTTTTCTGCAAATGTACAACAGGAACAACCTGGACTTATTATGGAATCTAATAATAATAATAGTTTATCATCAAATAATATTTCATTATCATCTAGTTCAATAACGACGGGAATCACAACAACAACTAGTTCTTTTCAATATCATCGTCATATTCCTTCTGATATTTCAGTAATTTCTCATGGTGGTGGAGGAAGCGAAAATCAACAATATTCTGTTTATTCTCCACATCTTCATCCATCTACACCAAGTGCTATGAATAGTAATTTACGTATTTTAGGCACTAGTTCTACTACTACTATTGCTGGTATCAATAACAGTAATAATAACTTGCCACCGAATTTAATGTCCAATTTAAACACTAATTTTTCAAATTTATCGTCTATGATTACTTTATCACATCAACAACAACAACAACAACAACAACAACAGATATCTCAACGTACAACCTCTAGTCAACATCATCATCATTACCATCAACAGCATTTGATGAGCTTTCCTTCTTCTACAATAGAATTTAATAAGTCAAGTAAATTCATTCGATTATTAGTTTTGCATCTTAGCTATTATTATCGATATAATGATGCATTTTTTGGGCTACACATATATTAAAGTGCTTAAAAAATTAGTTTAATTTTATGGATTGATTAAAGTTAGACTTGTACACCATTTGATTTTGGTTCAGTGGTCTAGAATTTGAATTCACACTTTGGAAGCTAAAATTCTGGTATAGACCTTTCCTCATTATTACTATTAACCTGGCTTTTCCTTTATTGTTATTTTGGTCTATGCTATCGCAAACAAGTTGTATAATAATCAACTTTTCTAGAAACATTAAAACTTCTTATAAACGATTGGTTTTTTATTTAGTCACATTTCGTACCAGTCGCGGAATTAAAGCTCAATCTACACCCTATTAGGTGCAGAATGTACATTTTTGTATATCTCCTGCTGATTACACAGTGTAGCGTGGTGTAACAAAGCCAAGTTGGTCGCCTAAAATATATTCCACACTCGACAGTCAAGCTTCTCCCATCTTATCAGAAATCTATGGTTAAATGTTTAATAGGGAGTTATAACTGCCTCTTGCCTGTTTTAAAATTTACCTACATATTTATCAGTAAATGATATCCGATTTAAAACATTCATAGTTGTGCTTTCTGTCTGTTTTGAACGTACATATCGTTCCCCTTATATTTTGCTTCAGTTAGTACCATTGATTATTCTGGAAGATGTTCTCATATACCACCTAACCCTATGACGTCAAACGTGATATCACCTCTCGGTTCAGCGCCAAATCAGTCGTGTATTCGTGGGCGTCGTCTTGCTCGTTGTACATCCCCCCGTACAACAGGTATGTGGCCCACGTTCAACTTGATCACCAATCCTGGCAATGATAGGCAGCATTTCACTCAATTACCAGGTCCATCGAATTCGGATGCTAGAATTGGAGCGTGCTCTTCCTTGGGTGTTTTATCACCCAATGCGGTTGGTTCCACTTGCTCTCCAATTCAAAACACTCACTTTACACATTCACGAAATCGTCCCATACCTGGCCAATTTCATAACGGTAAGTAAGCTTGTTAAATATTGTTCAGAAAGAAATTTGTTTATCGTTGTTTTTTTTCAAAAATAACCGGATATTCATTTGTTTATTTATTTGAACACAAATATTGGTACAATGGGGCACCAGATATATATGGGTCACACAATTGTGTGAGGTCTATGGTACTGCCAGAGTGCTCAGACCGAAGCAGGAACCAGATATCACTTTCAGATAAGATTGTTTAGAAAAGTCGGTAAATATTACACTTCGGTATAGTAGTAGCACAATAGATTCAATGTTATGACTGATTAACACTGGTCGTATTCATTCTGCATAACCATTTGTTTTATTCAAATTGTTAAAAATACTGTCCACAAATCATATTTAAGTAACTATCCTAGTTGATGATCAGGTGTATTGTTATTTTTGGTCAATAGTCATTTGGGAACTACAAAATAGTACTACAATGGTCTGTCATGTGGTAAAATCTGGAACCTTAACGTAGACTTATCATGTAAAGCTATATTTTTTTCTCTTATTTATACATCCATTTCAACGCTTCAGTATCTGGAAGTATATATAATAGAGACAGTGGTGATGGTTAATATCCTTACAGCATTGTAATGATGCGTATTTCTTTTAGCTTGTTGGCTTAAAATCCAAATCGCCTTGATTTTTTTCAACTTTCAAACTCTAATTTGGTTATTTTAATTTGGCTGTAAATACTAACTCTGATTATTTTTGTTCGTACGCTAATGCTACTAATAAAAATGAGGTGATGGCTAGCAGGGATGATCAGTAGTATTAGTGATAAACAAATTATCGATACTGTCGAACAACAACAAAATGTATTTGTTAATACTAGTTTGTACTTCTCTTTTCTTTTGCACTTTTTTGCACTAATAATCAATTATTTTGTACTTGAATGGTTTTATTCACTTTCCTTTTCCTCCTATTTAACTAGTTGTGCTTTTTTGTTTCATGTGATTTTCGTTATTGCTATGGTTTTTTCTTGTCTATTATGTTTAGTTTTTGTGTATAATATATTATTATATGACCAATATCATATCTTAAATTTTGATAGGAGATTCTTACATAGTGTATGTGACAGAATATAGTTGTTCTCGAGCGTTGTTAGAAGGATTAAAGTGGTTGTCACTTCCCAGTTATTCACACTGCAGAAGAATAATTCTTTTTGAGGTTACAAAAAAGAGAACTTGGTTAAGAGAGATCGGTTACATAACTTTTTGCGAGTATTTTTAGATCGTGTTAGCTCTGTACTTTTCCAATTTTACTCTCTTACAACACTTTATTATCATTACACGCGTGAATAATTGGGAGTACAACCCCTCCGTTGGGCCATGACTTGGCTGAGTTTCAGCGTACCGCTTTGTTAAAGGTTGAGTTCTTCTTTCAACCACTAAGTAGTAGGTTCGAACCTCATTCTACCTATTTCGATCTGGGCAACCAGAGAGCATCACTCCCCCTCGTATAATTAGAGTATGACTCGAAGCCAGTTATGGGAATTCGTAGAAAAGTTAAATAATAAAAAAATAATATGACTAATGCTTACCGACCTGAGGTTATGCATTTAACTTTGTGTTCTAAACCGTTTATAGTCAACACTTAGTATTTTTCTTATCATTTTTACTATTTTTACACAGATTTAGCTATTTGTCTTTTGTAAAAAGGAATAACCGTGTAATGAAAAATAGGCTTTTTGATGTTGTATAAATTATATAAGCTGTAGTGTTTGTGTCATCAGCATCTGGATCGAAATGAAGAAGAGTTAATTTATCACCAACTCATCAGTCAGTTGCATACTCGTATGCTTAGCTCTAAGCCATGTTGTCGATATGAAGGATAGTAATGATACTAACCTGATGTGCAAACCAAAGTTGGTGTAAGTAGGTTTCGAACCTGCGACTTCATGACTTTAAGTCGAACGCCTTAATCATTAAAGCACCACCGCTTTAGAAAAAAATTTTCTGCATTTATCCATAGAAAACTTTATTATCAAGACAATCGTCAGTGTGGCAGAATTAGTAATAATAACAGTAGCAGTAAAAAAGATTAGATGTCGAGAATATGATTCGATACGAAAGAAAGAAGTTTAAAATAATTTTAAAACTCAAGATCTAAAGTGCAATGGGAATCGATGCCATTGCAACCGATTACAAGCCATTACTCAACGTTACCAACTACTGGCTACCCTCTGTTTGCACTCAGTTATTTCGCACTCACCAACTGAATTATGAATTATTCCATTACATATATTAATTTTTATATGTGATGGTCGATATTTGATGTAGAAATACTACGACTACGAAAAATCACTCAATTTATTTAATGCTATCTCAACTCATATATATATATATATATATATATATATATATATATATATATAATTTATTCAAGCACATTAACATTGGTACATGGAGGCACCAAATATATATGCTCCATGCTTTATCATTCGATTTATGTAAAGGCTGAAATACCACTCGGGTGCCCACACCTAGAGGTCTAATCCACGGGGCAGTGGAACAACGTAAGGAGATGCAGTCCCATGGTAGACAATGACCAACAATAGGTTTATACGCCATTTATTCCCTCAGGATTTTGAAGCTCACGTGAACTGTTGGTTTGGAATCAGGGTTTTCCACCCCCCTAAGTAGATTCAGTATGTCCACCAACCCAGTTAAAGCGCTAGATATTCGCTTTTCGTCCTCTCGATTTCGTAAACAACACTCTCACCGAGAGAAGGCAATCAGTAGGACTTCCCTGATAGTAGCCGTATGCTCACGGCCATGTGTGAGCATTTCGAGAGAAAGAGAGAGTGCACTCTACCCACCCTCGGCATTTGGGGGCACAATTGTGAAATGTATCCGATGTAATGTAATAAATATGTTATGGTTGTTACATACTTTTCATTACGTGATATAATCAAATATTTGTTCCCGTGTATATAGTGTAAATCATTATAGGTGAACTATGTTAATATTAGATAACCAGTTGGGTTGTTTTTATTAATCGTCATACTAACTAAATTTTGTTAACCTTTTTTTCCTTATATAAAACTAATATCAACAACGGATCACTTTTTTTCTCATTTAAATTGACGTTTGAATTTATTATCTTTTTTAGTTATTTTCATTGTATATAGATAGATGTGTTTGTGTATATCCATCTTCAGTAGGTCTACTCCTGTTCACAATTTGACCATCATAGATATCATTCTTTACATTTTGTTGCTTTACCATGTGATTCACATTCAAATAGCACATGGTTACAAAATAAATATGCATTAAACACGTTGTTTTCTGTTAGTGTGAACCTAGTTGATGCAGGTGCCTTGATATTATACAATTAATATATTAATTCACATATGGATGTTTATTAATAAGTAAATGCATAAGTAGTGGTGTCCGTAAACAATTAGTGGATATGATACGATGCTATAAATTAAATGTACTTGGTGGTTAGAACATTCAAATTTCAACCAAGTAGGTCAAACATTTGAATCTCATTCCTTAAGTCCGAGCAGTTGAGGAATATTAGCCGTTACATTGAATAATGTCCCTTAAAGTCCAGTTATGAAAAAGATTGAATTTTTTGTTGATACTGTATTCTTTCAGCTAAAATGTAAAGCTTTTATTGTCTTCCTGGACAACATTATCATCATCCACTTCGTGTAAATATGAACTTTTCAGTTATTCATCTAGTGTTAAATCATTTCTTTCTGATGACTTTTTTATATTTGGTCGTTTTCGTGAATTTCTTGGTCTCTATTTGTTCTTTCGTTTCTGTTGACTGTCAACGATAACAGTTCCACAACTTGACAAATTTCATTTCGCCATCGATACACAACATAACATATTGGTTTCTTAACAAAAATTTTGAAAGATTTAATTTAATGCGTTCACTTTGTCTATTGTATTTCCAAGTTTAATTCCCACTAACTATTAACTATAATTTCGATTTTATTTATTGTAATTTTTTTCAGTAGTTTTAACTCATTCTCTGTCAACAGCTGATTATACACGAGATAATAATAATAAAGGTCGTCATCGTAGCGGTAGTTCTATGTCCTCTGAAATTGGACAATGTTCTATGAATGTTAAAGAGTTAACTTCTCCTACTGCCTATCTGGATTCAACTTCAACTTATCCAGGTCGATGTGGTTCTTATAGTGGTGGTTGTATTGTGGGTAATTTGAATAGAACCTCTACTTCCTCTGCTGTTGTTACAGTCGGCGGCGATGGTGTTAGTTTATCGACACCAAATCAGAAGCAGACTATGGTCGGTGTGGCTACTTCCAAGCCTGTATTGTTAAGACATCTCTCTGGGATTTACCAAAATGTGGTCACTCGTAAAAAACAACAACAACCTAGTAGGTGTAATTACATATATTTCGTTTGTTTTAATACTTACCTTCACCTTATCGCCCCTCCACCTTATGCGTTACTAGTTTAAATTATCGTATCAAATATAATGACTGCTTTCTTACATCTCTGTCATTGTTTATATCATTTTCAGTAAGTAATAACTTCGAGGTTTGTATTTTAATTTTGCTGTATTCAGGGCATAGTTATGGGATAAATGAATACAACGTTGTTTAAAACACACTGGGACAGTCAGCTTTATACACTTCCATGTTTACTTTGTCACATCGTTTTTACTTTTAATAATAACTGTAGTTTTTATTACGTTTGGTTGTTTTTCTTAATTCATTGACTTATTGCCCTAAATGTGCTTATTCTTACATACATATATATTCTTCTTTTGTGTTTAAGATATTCTATGGGATAATTTTGAATCGACAAATAATACAGAACAACAATACTTCTCGCCTAGTTGTCCATGGTCTACAATGAATATAAGTGGTACTGATAATAATAATAGTAATGATGGAATTAATGAAACAGAAAATGATTTCAACACTTTTTTGGATCAATATCATATGCCTGTCGGGATTGCTAATGCATCTTCTATTAGTAATTGTGATGACACTAGTCGTGATAGTGGTTTAGTTATTGATATGACATTGCCTCCAACTTCACCGCTTGAATCAAGTAAGAGTTAGTTTTTTAAAATAACCGAAATTAATTAATTTTAGTTGAATTGTATGGAAGGGGTGTTTTTTTAAGCTAGTGTTGTCTAGACTACTATTGTGAATATCGTAACATAAATTGTACCTGCCACAAATCGAAAGTATCCTACTTAATTTTTACCACGTTCCAATTGGTTAAACCTAATCATGTAAACCATTGAGTCCCAGTTCACTAACCTAAAAATTGAAAACTCTCCATGAGGTATGAAGGTACTGGGTTCGATCTCTTGTGATGAGGTCCAAGATATACACTGACTGAAGTGGAGTTCCATATATGAATGAAACAGTTGTTCACTGCTTCTAGTTTATCAATGGTTGTTTAGCTAAAACCAGTTGATTATGAGAACTATTTAATTTTTACCAACAGTTTAAATGTCATATAAGAACTCTCGTCTAAATTAGAACGAATAGTTTCACAGTTTCTTAAACATACCTAGTTTAGACTATTGTTAACGTTGATTGGATGACCTATTCAGTGTATAATGAACTCGGAGAACCATGTACCTATTTATATTCGATAATTTTGATGTTTGTTTATAATTCCTTGAAAAAGCTTGGACCAGATTGCCAGGCGAAACGTTGGATTTAATTTAAAAAATTCATTCGCTGAGATTTTACAAATATATTATTCTTATTTAAGTTTAAATGTCAGTTTTAATTCATAAATTCTACTGATGTACGCAAATGTGCTCCATTGTATAGTCTGCATAGTCTGCTGTCATTAATTTATTGTTTGACCTTTTTTAAGCCTTATTATTTTGTATCTAGACTATATTAAGTTGTTTCTTCGAAATACATTACACTACTGAGCCTTTAAAGAGATTTTTGCATGTGTAATACCTAAAGTGAATGTTTAGTGCCCCGGAGATTTCAGTATACATTTGATTCATTTGACTAATCTTGTGCTAAATTTTCTGTAAGTCATTCGAATGTACAAATGTATTATAGTAAGATGATGGTTTCTTGAGAACTTTCTATAGTTGGGAAATGATTTTCTCCACAACTTAGTCTCTTTGAGAGCCATTTTGAATCAGTTAGGTATAGGAGGTAAAGTTAACGCGTTAAAACCAACATGGATATTGATCAAAAATACAAAAACAAATGAACTGTATCATCGAAAACCGATATTTTGAGAGAATAGTTGATATATTTTTTTCTGTATATAGAGACCATATTGTACTATATCTGTTCACGTAATACGATTGCGTCATGTCAGCCATTACATCTCGGTTAATAGATTAGTTGATATAATGTGTTTGTATTGTTTTAAAATGTTTTTCTGAAAATATTTTTAGAAATAATTAACCAAGTCTTTATTTTCTCCATTATTACTTACGATTGTTATCTCTCATGGAGGAGCATAGGCCGACCACCAGCATTCTCTATCCAACTCTGTCCTGGACAATCCTATCCAGTTGCTATTCATTCTTTTCATGTCTGCTTCCAATTCTCAACATAGTGTGTTATTTGGCTTTCCTCTTTTCCTTTTCCCTTCAGGATTCTAAGTTAGAGATTGCCTCGTGATGCAGTTTGGTGATTTCCGTAATGTATGTCCTATCCACATCCAACATCTTTCCCTTATTTCCTCTTCAGCTGAAACCTGGTTTGTTCTCCCACAATAGGCTGTTGCTGACGGTATTCGGTCAACGGACGTTGAGTGTCTTACGTAGACAATTATTTATAAATACTTGTACATTTTTGATGATAGTTGTAGTAGTTCTCGAGGTTTCAGCTCCGTACAGTAGAACTAACAGTCTTGACGTTTGTATTGAAGATTGTGACTTTGATGTTGGTTTGCTGACAGTTGTTTTGATTTCCATATGTTCATCAATTGTAGGAATGTTGTTCTTGCTTTGCCATTTCTCGTTCATCGATTATGCTGTCCATGTACGTGAACGTTTCCACATCTTCCGGAGTTTCTCCATTATGTGTTACTGGGTTGGTGTTCTCTGTGTTGTATTTGAGGTTCTTGGTTTCTCCTTTGCGTATGTTGAGGACTACTGATTCTGAGGCTGCTGCTACACTGGCTGTCTTCACTTCTGTCTCCATTATGGCAGTCTACAAAATATGTATATACTTATATACACTTGTCTGTTTTTTATTTTAATAATAATGTGCTAAAAATTATATTTAATTGTTTGGAATAAAATATCTGTCCATGAGTTTGTAGCACATTTACTTTCCTATGTCCAATATCTGTGAAATATCTAACTCTCCTCTGTTCATTTAGTCAACTAGTCGTGGATATAACAACATAATTTTTAATAGAGATTTTTTTCAAGCTGCAAATTTGCTTTACCTGAATTTTCCATCTGGCAAGTTGGGATGCGCTACAGTGGCGTGTTCATTGGAGACTTATAAAAGTCTTTAAATATTTGGAATGAATTCCCCAGTAAGAATTACACTTACTTGTAGCACTGACTGACACGTTAAACAAGCGAAAAGAATGTTTGAAAATGATCAATATCGCTTTCCTACTAAACATTGAAAAAAATAGTTATCATCCTCATATGCGTGTCTACATAAGTATTTTTCTATTTTATAGATTGTGGTGGATTTTTAAACAGTAATCTCGATGTCGATCTATTATCTCAACTGACACAATCACAACGCCAACAACATAATTCATCTAATACTGCTACGTCTGCTACTGCTGCTGCTTTATTCGATGATATTCATACAGTTTATCCAACATTTTCTCAAGATATGGTTTTTCATTCACCATCTGATGATGGTTTCATTTCGGCACATTCTACTTCCGAGGAACTAGATCATCCTCAACATCGTCAACATCATTCTTCTTCGTTTTTAGTTACTGTCTCTACAAGTGGTAGTGTTGGCGTAAGTGATTGTTCATCATTACCAAATTTTTACGCATCAAATCCAGTTAGTATACCTGGCAAAGGAGGAAATAATAGTAAAGATGTAAAAGGTCTACAAATGCGTTGTGGATTCTTGGACTCTATCACTTGTCAATCAAATAATAATTTACCACAATATGATTCAGCGCAATCAACCAATTTACAACAACAGGCTGGTAGTAATAGTAATATTATTCGATCGAGTAATTTTATCAAATCAAATCAACACATCGTAGGCTGGCCTTCAAGTTTTATTGATGAAACTGGATATCATCGGCACAGTTCTCCGATATCTTCTCCAGTATCACTCAGTAGTAATAGTAATCGATTTTCATCAATTGTTGGTACGCCCCTTGGACGTGTTAATCAGCCAATTTCGTCGGTGTCAGGAGTCGATTTAAATGCTTCCGGACTAGCCAGTAGTGCTAGTAGTAATTCTACCAGTGCTATATCATTTGGTGCCATTGGCTCCCGCATTCATCACTGTTCAATGGTTAGTTCTACTGTCATATTCACCATTTCCTTGTTTTGATCACAATGTTTGTATTGATCTCGTTATTTCGATAATGCAATGAGAAGACGAAGATTATCAGAACTATGTGATATATTAGCGCAATACATTTCGAACAATCTGATCACACATATACTTGTTAAGAACATTTATATATAAAAATAAAAGGTCAACTAGACTGGAAATAGGGGTAAGAATAGACAAGGATAATAATGATAAAATAATGTGAAAACAATTTGACACCTAATCACTCTGGATAATAAGCATATATTACCAGGGTAGGTTTAAAGAGAGAACAAACTGTTTTTGAATACACAAAGGGGGTTTGAATTTTTGTATGGCATAAAGTCAGTGTGGCATCTTCTACCTTTTTGTGGGTAGTTTTTGTGTTAGCTCCGTTCTTCAAAAGACCTTACCGCCGGAAACGTATATCCGTGGGATAAGGCGAGGTGTGCATTTTTAGGGTCGACCTTTTCTAACCCCACCTCTCCTTGTGAGAAGGCAGCATCGCTGTCATGCTGGTTGTCTGAAGTAAAACACGTTACTTCTGTCACACCTCTGTACAGTCAGCAGTACGACTTCGCCTTCGGACCTTGGGTTTGCTGCTTTTAGTCTCACCGCTCTTCAAACGACCTGCCTGGTATGGTAGGACCTTGAGGAACGTTTGTTCCAGCCAGTATAGCTCGATTGAATCATCACGATAAGCAAACCCGACCACCACGTCAAGGTAGCAGCAACGATTTCTATGCTGATGTAGCGTAACAAATTGAACCGGTGCATACATGCGCATAGTTCTACGTTACTTATGATTAAATGACTGGTTATTTTGAAGACATTTATTTAGGTCAAATGAGTATTAGTAGCAATATTAATATCTCTTACAAAATATATATAATTCTGTCACCTCAGGCAAAGTGAGGGCATACAACCACCTTTCTCCCTTGTTCCATTCGAGCAGTGGGGTTAGGCAGGGTTGCCCAATCTCACCATTCCTCTTCAACTTTTCCATCGATGACATTGTGGAAACAGCTCTGATGGATGTAACTAATGGAGGTGTGAATCTGCTGCCTGGAGTCCCACAATAGGACAAAGCGGCCGTCCAGTGCTTCCAGGTTTTCCATGATGATCTAACTTCAATTGACTCATGATAAAATATTAAATAAATGTAATATTATAATACAACTTTATTTTCCTCTCTAAACTCCGGATACTCAAAATAGATTTCGCCTCATACAACACCTATTCTATCTCTTGATTGTTTTTGTTTTTTGTTAGTTGAAATCATTTTATTTTTCGTATCCTTGATAAAAATTGATCACAATTATTATGTTTGCTATGAACGTCCTAGTAATAATAACAGATTGGTCATGTGATCTTATATTTGAAGGTTATTTTATTTGGTTATTATTATTATTGTTATTATTTATCATTGTTGTCCTTCACTGTCCATTTTATTATCAATTTACTCGAATTTGATTGGTTTATTTAATATATCATGAATGATAGACAAACTAACAAGAATAAGACATATTAACAATGCACTTTAAATCTTAATCAATCAATTTATGTTAAGTTAAATTTTCAACTTTATTGATTACTATTGATATTTATTAGGAAAAATAATAATAATAAAGGGCAACTTTGTGACATCCTACCTAACCATTAATAATAATGATAATAATCATGGTTAGTTTTCATTAGAGTGTGTAATAAATACATTTTTTTATAATTTCAAATATACCAGATTTTGGGGGGAGGAACAAAAAATAAACAACTTAGTAATAATATTCATTTAGTGTTACTTGTTTGAATCTTCCCATTGATGTGTTAGAACTGCAACTGGTCAGTTTCTTATTGGCATATGCGCATACTGTGCGTATTGCCTCGATATAGCCTTATCTCACAAGTATTGTAAGCAAAAATGAAAAGTGGCTAGTAGTGGAATCCAAGATGTGCGTTTCGTTCTATTCGAGACTCGTCAGCTGAATGTGCCTGCATCTCAGAGTTGATGTTCATTCTGGGACTCGTGCTCGGTACCTTTCACTTCAAACGCCATCGCGTTATTCACTCAGCTACGGAGTCCTGATAGCCACTTGCTTGTGCAATGGGGTGAATTCCCAGAGTGAACATCAACTCTGTGATGCAGGCACATCCAGCTGACGAGTCCCAAGTAGGACAAAACGCGCGTCAAACTGGATTACACTGCTAGCCACTATCCATCTCTGCTTAGCAATAATATATTTGTAAAATCTCAGCGAATGAATTTGAAATAAATCCGACGTTTCGCCTGGTAATCTGGTCCAAACTTTTTCGAGGAAATATATTATTCCTATTTAATGTCTTACATCAACTCGGCACTCAAATATTGTGGAACTATTCGTTCTAATTTGGACGAAAGTCCTTATGTAAACAACTTAGTAGTTTGAGTTTTTCACTCTGAGGTCTATTTAGTCAGTTTAAGGATGAATTTTATTCAGCGTTAGTTGCGTCTTAGTATACAATTACTTTCGCTACTAATTTTATTTATGAATCAATGGATCATTCATAAATTAGTTGTATTGAAATTCTCTCAAACTACTCATACCTATATATTATTAAAAGCGATATCTTTTTTGGGAATATAAAATATTACGACTGCTTTTTTACAATCAACTTGTTTAAAATAAGGACTCAAATGTATTACTTCATTATTATCTCAATATTAAGTAATCCTTGCAATACATTGTCTAGTTAGCCTTAGTAACCATTTATAAGTAGCTTACTTTCCGGCTCTTGTATATATCTGATGTTCTATCTGATTAGTTTAACATTTGATTAAGGAAGCAGTTCAGGTTCAATCACCAGTAGTTGAAGGAGAAAGGATTAAATAAATATGCTGTAAATTTTATCGCCACTATATCACTTGGAACCCATATCCCCATATTATTTATGGCCAAATCGGATCTAGTACTCAACCCATTTATCGAGTACAGATTTGTATACTTGATTACGAGCCACACTCTAGGTTTAAAGATTAGTGATATAATCCAGTTACCCTAATCATAGTAGGTCGGACAGGGTTCGAGTCTACAACCTAGTAGCTGGAAGCATCACGCTTCAGTCCTTGAACTACCGCTCCACGTAGTTCTTAGTGTTCCATATGATCATGCTTGTGTTAAATTGGTTAAAGTGAATTATTTTTTAACCTTGTCATCATCATATTCCGAAACTCAATATCTATCTTATGGAATTGTTACTTTCAAATATAGACATCGGAATCCACAGACCAGCCTGACAATAACCAGTCAACTAGATCACAACAATATTCAGAATGTTCAACTCAGGGTGGTATTTCTAATATATCTTCAACTACATCTCCCAATCAACTGGATCTTGGCGGAACTCGAACAAGTTCTAGGATTTTCTCGCATTCAATAAATGATAATTTTACCAACTTACCACAATCACCTATTCTTTTATCGTCTCCATTCAGCAATCCAGGTTGTGATCTAGAACGTATAACTTTACGTCGTGAATTAGATGAAGTTAAACAACTTTTAGATTCGGTAAGTTGTCTTACACTGCCGTACTCACGTTTTATGTATTTCAAATTTTGTGTGTGTTTTCACATTTACTAGTCTAGGTTTTGGTAGATTTACTTTCTAGTCGAGAAAATACCTACTTCATCTTTCAATAAACCATAACAAATACATTTAGATATTATACGTATCAGACTAATAACTTCATCTATAAAGTTCTTGAGTTTTTTATTCTCCTTATGTTTATTTTAATATACCATGATATAAAACAAGTTGTATATGATACCAGGTTTCTTTTTCTCGCTTGCTTCTGAAAGACAGTGGAACCTGCGCTTTCACTAATATGCAAGCATTTCTCAATTGACTATATGATAAGCGAATTCATTTATTATCAGTGTGAGGGTTGTAGAGGTTGTTAAATGTTGTTGGGGCCGCAAAAATTTAAAGTTAGACAAATTTTTGAAAATCTGGGAGATATTTATCCTAGTATAGGATCCCTCAGTGACAGTGTCCACCCACAATCTCATAGCCAGAAACTCGGAGCTTTCGTGTTGCGCGCTGGCATTTAACCTTTAGGTCACTGACAAGGAATACAATAGTGTACATTGTCGTTCAATATCGCGAATTTATCGAAGTAAAAGTTTTTCCTGATGTGTTTACTCTGAAGAACAACGAAAGCTTCACGATTAAACCATCAAGCTCAGAGAACGGAACTCTGCCAAACTAGTTCACTTAATCTACATATCTACATTTCATAAGTATGGATAACTGTTAACGGTCAGTAAGTACCCCGTATAGCCAGTGGTTTCGAAGCCTCTTCTGATCAAGTGTGTAGTGGGTTTTAAATCATATGTAGGTTAAAATATTTAGGTTAGTTTTATTGGTGTTAAATTTTGAGATCGGATTACGTACAGGTCCATGATACTTATTTATTACGGAACGATTGAACTTATTCTTATGCAAACGTGTTCGATGGCGAGCTCAATAGAACAACACACAGTAACACTTCAACGTCAAGATTGCACATGCTAATATAAGATAAAGAAGGCGAGACTTTCAGAATAGCTTTTTATTTAGAAAGAGATTCAAGAATTAAAGTGGGACAACAACTCTGTTTATGTAATAATATTCAAAATTAACTAGATTTCTTTAGTTCTCTCTAGGAATGTTGAACTGCATTTACCCTTTGAAAATTGGGGTTGTGCCAAATTTGATCTAAAGATGGTAGAGAAGATTTGCAGCTCAGGTGGATGATTTTGGTGAAGTTTTGTTCTCTGGGCTGAATGGCTTGGTCGTAAAGCTGTCATCGTTCTTCTAAATGACATAATCAGCACAAACTTCGAGTAGAAGTGAAGTGTTCGAATTTCTCGATATATGACTCACATCTCATCCTATAGACCTCGATCTTGACTGGTTGTTGCTGACCTTTACCTGTCATTATTTCTTTATTTCGATTGTATCTCCCATGTATCCGATTCTTGGTTCAAAATCGGAACATAATTCTTCTGATTATTTGATAGAATGAACCGATTTCAATGTATTTGTTCACTGCTAATTAACCTTAGTGTCAGGCTTTTAAAATTTCTCTGGTGTTTTTAGAATTCCCTCTATTCAAGGTCTCGACATTTCTCAGTCCGAAGGGTGTCCACGTGTACTGATATAATAAGCGAGGATATGTCATGCCATGACATCAGTAAGAGATATAATCAAAATAAAGAAATAATGACAGGTAAAGGTCAGCAACAACCAGTCAAGATCGAGGTCTATAGGATGAGATGTGAGTCATATATCGAGAAATTCGAACACTTCACTTCTACTCGAAGTTTGTGCTGATTATGTCATTTAGAAGAATGATGATAGCTTCACGACCAAGCCATTCAGCCCAGAAAAAAAACTCTACCAAAATGCCGTCTACTATTTTACAATTACACACACATACACAGGGTTTCAATTATGTTACTATTAATAATTTTACATTCTCTGCTTGTTGTTTCCATTTGTAGAAGGAGGGTGAAGTGGAAGTTTTAAAAAAGCAAAGAGATTTTGTCACAGAACATTTACGTGATTCACTTGGTGTAATTCGTCGTTTATTTCATTCATTAAATATATCGCCATCAGCGTCAACTGATTTATTTAAACCGTTATTTATTGACACTGAAATTAATAATATTAGTAGTGAACAAAGTACCGGTTGTTGTTATGCCCAAAGTTTATCATCGGAATCAAATCCATGTGAAAAATTTAAAACGTGTATGCAAACTTCACCTGTGAAAAGTCCTAGTCCAAGTGGACCAATTGATTCAGTTAGCCGAAATCCTCTACAACAACAAGAAGCACTAGCAGCTCTATTTGCTAACCCACTTGTATCAGCGCTTTTGAATAGTCATCATAATAACGATATTCGTACGGTAGATGATGATGGTTCTAACAAGACAAAGTCTGAAATGCAGGTTTGTTTTTATTTAAATTAAACAATTTTTTGTTATTTATTCTTATAATAAATGGCATTGGTCACAAATTGAGCGCATTTGGTGTACTATTGGAAATTAGGGAGTGCTTTATAATCATTGCGTCCCACTATGGGGCTCCTCTGCAGTGCACACCTATGACCCTATCACCAATCTAACCAAGAAGCTTCAAGTCTTGTGGTAAATGCTTAACTTTTAGAATCACTTTGTCGGCGTCCATCTCATCATCTAGTGGCTCTATAAACTGATGAGACGTCTTGGTTTAGCTTCCCATCATTTTCTTCTGATATATTCCTACATCAACATATATCGCACATCGAAGTAGTCAGTGGTCGAGGATACATAATACACATGCAAGTAAGCAGTATTTGGGGATATGCGACACATATCCCAATCATTTCAGTAAATGAGGATTCACTAGCTGATCAACCGATTCGCTACCAAATATTTCACATCTAACCTCAACATTGATCACTCACTATTGCCAGCATACACGGACAATGATTTTAAAACATTTATGATTAGACACTGATAACCTACGAACATCCTTTCAGTCAGTCAATCACAACATAGAACCTGATACGTATATACATCGTTTCAAGTTGCTATACCCCATTAGCACAAAGATAAAAATATCATGCCAAACCCGTAATAGTAAAAGGGTTTGGCCTGACAAACATTGATTTTTCAGAGAGCTACGACTATCACAACTATCAAATAGAAGAGAACAAATTACTTACTTACGCCTGTTACCCCTTGTGGAGGAGCATAGGCCGCTCACCAGCATTCTCCATCCAACTCTGTCCTGAGCCTTCCTTTCCAGTTGCTATTCATCCTTTTCATATCGGCTTCTATTTCCCGGCGTAGTGTGTCCTTTGGCCTTCCTCTTTTCCGCTTCCCTTCAGGATTCCAAGTTAGGGATTGAGTCGTGATGCACATTGGTGATTTCCTCAATGTATGTCCGATCCACTTCCAACGTCTTTTCCTAATTTCCTCTTCAGCTGGAAGCTGGTTTGTTCTCTCCCATAAAACGCTGTTGCTGATAGTATCCGGCCAGTGGATGTTGAGTATTTTGCGTAGACAACTGTTTATAAATACTTGTACCTTCCTGATGATGGTCCTAGTAGTTCTCCACGTTTCAGCTCCATACAGTAGGACTGTCTTGACGTTCGTATTAAAGATTCTGACCTTGAAATTGGTTGAGAATTGTTTTGAGTTCCATATGTTCTGCAATTGTAGAAATGCTGCCCTTGCTTTGCCAATCCTCGCCTTTACATCTGCATCCGATCCTCCTTGTTTATCAACGATGCTCCCCAGGTACTTGAATGTTTCCACCTCTTCCAGAGTTTCGCCATCAAGTGTCATTGGGTTGGTGTTCTCCGTGTTGCATTTGAGAATCTTGCTTTTTCCTTTGTGAATGTGGAGGCCTATCGATGCGAAGGCTGCTGCTACATTTGCTGTCTTCATCTGCATTTGTTCGTGTGTATGAGAGAGGAGGGCTAGGTCATCTGCGAAGTCCAAATCATTTAATTGATTCGTTGTATCATATAGTTGTTTCATATTCCCTTCTCTTGCAGCTTTTACCGCCGTCGTTGCTAGTTCTTTCATGTATTTCTGCTTGTCGGCTTTAATGCTTTTCTTCACTTCCCTGTTTGCTTCTGCGTAGTCTGCTTGTGCTTTGACTTTCTCTGCTCTTGTTTGGCTGTTGTTAATTGCTAGTTTCTTTTTCTTCCTTTCTTGAATTTTGTCCAGGGTTCCCAGAGAGATCCATTCCTTGTGATGATGCTTCTTAGGACCAAGAACCTCCTGACACGTTGAAGTTAATGCTTCTTTGATCCCTTTCCAGTTGTCCTCCAAAGTAGTTTCTTGTTCTTTCAGTAGATCCTGCAGAGCTTGGAACCCGTTGTTGAGAGTTATCTTGAATTCATGGAGCTTGTCAGTATCTCGAAGGAAGGCTGTATTGAACCTCTGTAGTGCTGTTTGTCCAGTTGTCCAGTCTTTCTTTAGCTTCAGTCTCATCTTGGCCACAACCAGCCAGTGGTGATCTGAAGCTATGTCAGCTTCTCTCCGGGTTCTCACATCTTCCATCGATCTTCGGAATTTTTTGTTGATACAGATGTGATCAATCTGGTTCTCTGTGGTGTGGTCCGGTGAGATCCATGTAGCTTTGTGTGGGAATGTTGTGCTGCCTATAACCAATTTGTTGAATGCACATAGGTTTGCAAGCCTCTCCCCATTTTCATTTCTCTCTCCTAATCCATGTCGTCCAATTACAATTTCATATCCTGTGTTGTCCGCTCCAACTTTAGCATTTAGATCTCCCATCAGGATGGTGAGGTCCTTTCGTGAGCACTTTGCTATAATTGATTGCAGCCTTTCATAGAACTGATCTTTATCATCGTCGTTGCTATCATTGGTGGGTGCATAACATTGGATAACGTTCATTGTGATCCCTTGCTTCTTTGTTCTGAATGATGCTTTGATTATCCTGGGTCCATGAGATTCCCATCCCACAAGTGCATTTCGTGCTTCTTTGGACAGCATTAAAGCAACTCCCTGAGTTTGTGGAGCATTTTCCCCTTCGTGACCGGAATACAGCAGCATTTCTCCTGTACCTAGCCTTTGTTGTCCAGTTTGTGTCCAATGGGTTTCGCTGATTCCGAGTACTGCCAAGTTGTATCTCCTCATTTCCATTGCCATTTGACTGGTGTTTCCTGTCTCCCACATTGTCCGGACGTTCCATGTACCTATAAAGAGTGTTGCTCTGGTTGTTAGAAGGTGCATCGGTCTGATGACTTCCGAAGAATTTGGGCTTTCATCATGAGACGTCATAATTATTCCTTCAAGTGCCAGGGCAGAGTTTAAATGGTTTGAATTATTTTTTCTGGTTAGCGTTTTTTTAGCGATTTAGCTTTTCTACGGGATGGGGTCGCTAACCCCATGCCCAACCCTCCTCCTTTACCCGGGCTTGGGACCGGCAGTAACTCTAGAAGAGCTACAGGCGGAGTTAACAAATTACTGCGTAGTATACTTATCCTTTGATTAGGAGACAAATTGACATGTCTCATGTGTCATAACAAGTTACATTAGATTTTCTCAATTCGTACTGAGATTTCATCTGATCGAATTCCTCTTTTAAATACTAACTTCCAATAACAAGGTGGACTACTAGTCTGTCATAGTTTCTAATGAGTTTCAATCCATTTTATCTAATAAAAACTTATACTACTACTACTACTACTATTCTCTGCAGTTAGTGATATTACTATTGTTTGCACGAATCCATCTATTTGTGCAACCTGTAATAATTTCGTATATACTCTTCTGAATTAGTTATATGTGTGTGTATGCCTATGATAGTACTGCCTAATGTTATGTGTTGTATAGGTAATATATTTCTTTACAATAATAATACCATTATAGAATAAATTAGTTTTCTGATCTTTGTATGTTATGTTCAGTGTTTGTATTGTGTTGCACATGACTTTCTATTCTCTCCTCTACCTTTTTTCGATAGATCTAGAGAGATATTTTCAAAAAAACGTGTTCACTTAGTAACAACAACAACATAAATATATATTTTTTTTAAAAATATATTTTTTTAATTTTCTTTCTTCATAAGTACAATGCACATGTTTGCTTTGTTTATTTATTCGTTCACGTGGTGGTAAGTACTCTTCTTTATTCTAAAGAGAAGGATAGTATGCGTGATTACTCTGTTCATTCCGTCTTTTTTATAAAGTAAAAAACTGTAATTATAATCACTCTAATCAATTTTTATATTTACCTGCATTTTTTCGTTCCCCCCTCCCTGTTTTGTAGTAGGTTTTTATTATCATTGTATAATGTTAATGATTAGGAGCTATCAACCTATATCCTGTTATATATTAAAAAAAGGTCAATATTTAAGTTCTTGTTCTTAGATGAGCTTGATATTCAGTCGCCTTACTGCTATCGTTATTTTAATATCTAATTTTTTGTGTGTAGTATTCGTCATGGATTGATCTTATTTGGGATAGTAATAGTTAAAAACAGGGTTGTACTAAACAACCCTTTTGTACTTCTGCGGAGTCTCATATCAAGACGAAACAATTGCATAGTGGTCCCTAGCTTTCAATAGTATCTCAAGTTGAATGTAGTCCACATCTATCAAGATAGTTTAGACTGATAGTCAGTAACTTAAGGAATTGATGTTACGTTTTGGCTTGACCAACCTTGGTAATCTTGCAATGTATTCTTACACCTGGTAATACCACCAGTCCGGGTAGGAAGTGGTTAGGGTTGAAGTTTTGTCTACCTAAAATTCATCAGTAACGACTAGTGTTCCATGAACGCGAGATATTCATTTCTAAAGAGATTGTGTTTAGTCTCTTTCTCCCGAATCATAGTTTCACTCATTTTGTCTCTTTTGTTGAACATATGTAATATGCAACAAAAAATGTGTGTGCAGTTTTCCCTACAAGCTATTAACTTCCAATCTTTCTCTCTTTGGACATTCTTGATAGATGATAAGTTTTATTCCGATTTTTTCATTTTGTCTAATCCATGATTTTTTCTATAGTGAATAAACGTTTATTTTATTAATTTTTTTTCTAAAAATGTATCTCTATTCAATTTTAGTTTCAAAATTGGAATTTACCAAATAATAATTATAATACAGATTGTATACAACATGATAATGAAACATCTGTCCATAAACTCAAAGAAACTTTCAATAATCCATGTTTATTATCATCCACATGTGCTGGTGTTGATAATGGTGGTACACATAGCAATTCTGATGACAATGATGATGATTATTTATTCTTTGCATCGGGTTTACTATCATTATCTAATCAAGAATCTTGTGATTTAGATCAACAAATAGAAGGCAGTAATACAGAAGAACCGTTAACACATCATTCTTCTATGAATTTTGATGTGTCCACTATGGCTAGTACTTCTGTTTCTGAGTTGACAACAACAACAGCCACGACGGCAAATGCATTGACAATAGTAACTAAGAATGCGACATTTGAAGAATCTAATGTAACGACCAATGAAGTGACAGTTGTCGAAGAGGACTCATTCCAATCGAATACAATAATGAATACTGCTACTGTCGTTCCTGATACTAATTCTGCCAGTACTAATTTTGTATTTCAGAATTCATCCCTAGATATACAACATCAGGACAGTAATGACAATGATAACAATAAAAGCAATAACAACAACAACTGTTGCTTATCATCCACCTCATCGTCATCTAAACATAAAACTAATGTGTAATATGTTTGTTGGTATCACATACATACATACATACACACACACTCAAAGAAAATTACATCATTCTCATCCTTAGTTTTTTTCTCTAGGCTCTGTTCCACTATATTACTATTATATAATGATCGTACATAATTCATAGTTATTAGAAAATAAAAAATAAAATTAACAGAGGATAAGTTTAATGAATGAAACCGATCAAGGGTGGTATAAGAGATTAAACAATTTATACACAATAAAATGTAAAAGATGATCCCTAATTAGATTCAGATTTATTAGACAAGATTCTTATTGTTTTCTTAATTTATACTTAGTGAGATATTCAATTACATTATTAGTATTGTTATTCTTACTTATTGTTCGACATTGTTTAGGTGTCTATCTGATTTTACGTATATTATTATTATTATTACTATTATCTATTTTCATAAACATTTTACGGATATACACATGGTCTCATTTAACTAACTAAGCTAACAATTAATTCATTGTAACAATATTTTCCCATTATTATTGTGTTTTTTCTGATATGTATATATATTTATATATGTTTGTACTGTTTTCTCTCTGTTGTTGTAATTTATACTTTCGATTAATACTATTCAGTAATCTGTTACATTTATGATGAAATCGTGAAGATAATTAAGAATAAGAGTAGGAGGAATAGTAATTCTATCTTTCTTTCTTCTTTTCTTTTCTACCGTGTTTATAAATAATACAAGCAAGTCAATATCGCCACTACGACCACCACCATGAACATACGTCGTCATCTATTAGATGTAGTAGTAATTTATTTATTTATTGTGCAAATTCAACACAACAAACATACAATACACTCACATGCACATAGAAACACATATATAAATGCTTATTTCTCTTTCTGTTTTTCATTCATGTATTTGCAAAATATCTACTAGTATTGTTTGTTGAAAGCGTTTTCATATTCATAATGTGAATTGTTATCAAATGATTCTAAGTTTACATAATTAGTCACTTTATTACATGTTTATTTGGGGATAATTTTATACTTATTTATATTTGACAAGTACTTTTTTTCGAAAAACAATTCATGCCTCAACTACTACTACTGTATGCGAACATACATCATGTGTGTTTGTGTTTATTAGTTATACAAGATTGATGGATGATTACAATAACCATAATAATAATGTTAATATTGAGAAGTAACCGCTACCGATAGCTTATTAACCAATAAACTTTAATACTGCATAGTAACTTACAAGTCATATTTTAGATATTTTGCGTGCATATTTCTTCTCAGTTATGTGTTTATATGATTATTATTACTGATATTTGAATCAGAAGATGAGGAAATACATTTTCATAAGTATGTTATCATAAACAATATAAATTTAGCGCCAAAACTTACTAGAGATATTACCATTATTCATTGTGTTCTATTTGTTTTATTCAATTAAATCTTTTTTGGGGGGGGTTTGCTTTTTATAAACAAGATACACACCGAGACATAGTAAACCACAACAAAAACATGGAAGCAAATCAATTTACACAGTCAAATGATATGATTTTCTTCTTTTAGGTTATTGTTTATTTGTTACTTATGTATCGGTCGTGTAATGCTATTATTATTACTATTATTGTGGGTGTGTGTGGTAACCCACCAACCCACCATTTTGTTGCATTGTCCATTTTCCCTATATACTATTTATAGAGGATATACTTATCTTTTTTTCCTGTTTTTTCGTTTTTCTATATAATGAATGATTGTGTAATATGGATATGATTATTATTATCAATGGTAATAATGTGTTAATGATAGTCTTATATATTTTACATAAATATGTACTGCATTCACTTACATGTAATGTATCTAATTTGCTCTTGTTTATTGGTTGTTTAGTGAATCAAATAGAAATTCTAGTTATTTTTCTTATTAGCAAATTCACTTAGTTTAAAAAAAAGATGTTTTTAAAAGAGAAACGTTTCAAATGTGTGGGTGGGTGGGTTTTTTTTTAATATGATGATAGATAAAAAGAGACTTATTCATATTTTGCCTTGATTGTTTTTTGGCGCTTTTTTGAAAAAAATTTACCTTTCTGTCCACTTTTCGTTTTGTTTATCATTTCTTCTATCATTAATGAACTGTTATGTTTGAATGGTAACAAATGATTTTTCATTGTTCTAGCTTATATTTTTACCATCGATTTTCTGCACTTATTCTATTGTGGACGTTATATATTAAATAGGAGTATTTTCTTTGGTTTCATGTTTTCTGTTTATTTCTAAATTTAAAAAAGAAAAGATTGTTTTTAATGTTAATCTTATATTTCCTGGCATAGTTTCCCAATTTTTTTGTTACTGACGTTGATGATCGATTCATTCTACACATTATATGCACATCAATCTATTCATTATCATTTTTATTATTGAATGCCATTTTATGTAATCACATTTCTAGAATAATAAAGTTATGTATATTCACATTTATTTAAGATAATAATGAATTCACAATAGTCTTTCATTTGATGACTTCTGTTTGTTTGTTTGTCTGTTATTGTTATTATTGTCCTTTTCATCATGAAGCTTTTTTGTTTTGTAACCAACATTTTACTACTTTTTTCGTTATTCAATTATCATTGTTTACCTACTGTGTTTCTATGTCCGCTTGTGTGTGTGTGTGTATGTATGTATAGTATGCCCTTGTTCATTTTTCTTTCTTGAAATTATTATTTATGCTTATTATCACTTACTTGTTCATATTATTTTCTCAAGATTGTTAGTGTATTATAATTTAATGATTGTGTCATTTTGTTATGTGTTCACTTTTCTTGTCTTTTATCACTCAGGTTCATCTTTTTCTTTGTTTCCTTCGTACAATTCACTACTTCATCACCTAACACCAGTTTTAATTTTCATTCTCCTTAAACTTTTACATCAAAATAGTTCTATCATATTTATCATAGTGTATTAACAAATTAATTTATATTCACATCTCGTAGATCTTTACCCTTTTTGAATAATAATTATTGTTTCCCATCACAATATGTATCGCTCTTTTTTACTTAAAGAAAAAGAGAGAAATTATCAATGTAGATTTGTTACACTTTTAACTTTGATAGTTGAATTCTTTCTCTAATGAATAACAATGAATAAGTAACATAATGATAACAACAGAACATGTAACTGGGATCTATCTTGAGTTACATTAATTAACAAAGTATAACGTTTAAAAAAGTATGCACAAGTCATATCTCTCTTGTGTAATAAATTATTCTCTTTTAGTCATCATTATTGTTGTTATGATTGTTCTTGTTTATGGTATTATCCAGAGCCTTCCATCAAATGTGCTTTTATTTGTGTGTGTGTGCGTGCGTGCGAGTAGATGGGCGATTCAGTTGACTAACAATGATTCAGTCTTGTGCTTATACTATTTTTACATTTTATTTTCATTATTACTATTATTAATACTGTTAGAGTTTATTATGCCATGTGTACGATTTCTAAAGAGATGTTTATGCCTATTTTTCTTTCAGTTGCAATAATTAACGATAAGGTAGGATAGTGTATTGTATCTCTAGGAGAAAAAAAACACAACAACTTAGCACAAAACAACAGATTATTGGTCTTCTTTCTGTTTCTCATTTAACAATGTTGGTTTTTATTTACTTATTTATCTTTACTCCCTTTTTGCGCTTACCTATTGTATTTGTTAGATTTGACTTGATCTTCTTACCTATTCATTAATTTATTTTACATTTGAGATTTGTTTATTTTTTCAATGAGGAATAGGTTTTATGAGATTTTTTTTCTCCGATTTTTTTCACGTCAGTCTGTTATTTGTTTGTTTGATTGTTTTTGTCTCTCGTTTACAAGATCTTAGCAATCCCATTTTCTTCTATCTATTGTGATTCTTTTTCTATGCGTCAATTGTTTGTCGGGGTTGTTGTTGTTTATTTTACTCTTCTTTTCGAGATCGATAGTTTACATCTTTTAAATGCTTATTTATTCAGGTACCAATGCTATTAGTACCCTGTTAATCCACTATTTGTGTTTCTTATTGAATTGTCCTTTTTTATCTAGAGGCGGTTAACATTGTTAGGTTTTTAGTATGTATGCAATTTTGTGTTCCATACACAAGAATTTTTTCATATTGCCTACCCTGGTGTTGATCGTGCTTATCTCTTTCTCTCTCTGTTATTACTATTTCATATTCAATTTGTACATCAACACAATTACATACTTATAGATTCAACATTTTCTAAGGGTTTTAGTCATCTCCAATTTTTATCATTCAGGTATGTGTATTCTTTTTTTTTCTTCTATTTCATTTTCTTTCCTCTATTCCACAATCAATTGTCTGTTGTACTAAAAAAGAAAAGATATTGAATAACGGCTACTGCCGCCATCATAGTTCAATGTTAAATTGTCCAATCTCTCACTTTCATTTGAGTATTACCAAAGCTTTATTTTTTTGTTGCTACATAATTTTCATTTTCATACATTTTTAATCATACTCACTATGTGATTGTTATATTACAATACTTCTGTGGGTATTTAATGATAAATACATACAGAAGAGAGATACATGCACATAATACACACAGAGTATACACCATTGTTCTTATTTCTTGCTTATATACAAGTATATATATATATATGTGTGTATTGTATCAATATTGTTTCTATTCTATAGCATCATTTATATTTCTCTGATCAGAATTTAAAAGAAAACTAAAAAAGATTATTCTAGATGATACTATATTACTAAAATGCTACTTATTTTCTTTAATAGGATTTTTTTTTCATTATTACATTCTGTCATTAGACATTTACAAAAATCAAAACAGATTATAACAATACAATTACACAAAAAAATACGTGTGTTTTGACTTTTTTTATTGCCTTTACTGGTTTGGTTAAATGTCGAAAGGTAGCTATTAAACGGATGCGAGTAGTTTAAAAATGGTTAAGACTTTTGATTTTCAACTATCAAGCTAATTGTTTCGATAGCTTGCTCAATCTACTTCGTAGTTACAGTGATCCTTATCGTCAGAGTATGGTTTGGAGCCAACTCCTTGATTCGGTACCTGGTTGTTGAGCAAGGTAAGTAGATGAAGTGCTGTCATAGTGGGTAGGTCTGAATGTCCTATATTGAATTTCTAGTGAAGCTTTGGGTGAGCTAAAAGTTTAACTTCAATAGCTTATTTCTTTCTGAGTTACAATCTATTTATTGTTAGGAATAGGTATTGTTTTAGGATTTTTAGAAGAAAACAGTGAAATCAAGGATGTTCGTATTGCTCTGTCTGGAACTGGTCAGCTGTGTGTAATCCCCCCCCAATCCGCCGATATTCACACTCGAACCCAAACTCGGTCCCCTTCACTGTAAATCTAGCGTGTCACCCACTAGACGTGTGGGTCTACATGGTCTCCAACTTGTTCATCGGTGTGGTGTGTGTGTCATTAGTAAAAATTTTAGATATTCTATCGTGAATATCACGAATTCAAATATGTCCTACTTACAAGTCTCAAATGGGACGAATTTCGTAATAATCTATCCTATAAATTGTGCCGCAGTATTGCTATGCTGAGTTAATCTCAGGATATACGTATACCAACAAACAGATTCAATCCTTAATGCCAACAATAAGGTAATACAAACCCTTTCAGTGGTAATCATTATCCTACGAAGATGTTTTGGAGGTCAATAATTTATGGATCGTGTCTCTATAGATCTAACGTTTAATTTGTATTACTAGACAGCAGACTAGGAATATAGTTAATGTTAGTGATGAAAATAGTAACTCTCAATCCTGATTCGTTACATCAATCCATAAGTGTATTTTAAAAATAAATGATCAGATTTTTTCAAGGTCATACATCAGCCCTAGTATCGAACGCAATATTGAACTAATGAAACTGCTAGCATAGATATTGAGGTAACTTTTATTATGCCTCGAGACAGCGCCACATAATCAGGATTATTCGAAAGAAACTATGGTTAGGAACCAGCACAACGGAATAAATTACATTTCTGCTAGCCTGATTGAATCCTCAAACGTTTACTTTAGTGATCTTTTTTTTGAAAACTACCGATGCAGTTTTCATAATTCACATCTGGATTGTGTTTACTAAGGTTTTAAGTTTTACACTGAATAACTCTGACTCTCTATGTAATTAATGTCAGGTATCTTATTATTCAATTTGTTTATTTGGTCATCTGTACTCAATCCTGCACTTCAGTATAGTGTGGTCATCACAAATTTTACCATTTTGTATAAAAGTTAGTATAGATTTGCTGACTGTGAACAGTTGTCGCAATACTAACCAAACAACGCGTTAACAAATATTAAATGTCCTAATCCTTTTAAAGGATAATAAGTGTAACATTTTAAATGATCTAATCATTCCAATAATAATGTACAGTATTTCATTGGTAAGCATTTCCAAGAAAATGAATAACTCAATAGTGTGTCTTTCGATCTTAACTTATATTTCACTGTGTTGACAAACATTTTCTACTTTACCTAACAATGGTACATGTTTACCGTCATCGGTGTTTTTATTCAGAACAACAGTAATTAACTATACTATATAAATGCATCATAATCTACGCATCATCTAACGGGTGTTCAAGTTTTTCACTATTTTTTTTTTACTGTTATATGCTGTCATATCATATTAGTCTGTCCATTTTAACTTTAATAATTCTCGATAATGTAATAAGACGAAGATTATCAGAACTATGTGATATATTAGCGAAATACATTTCGAACAATCTGATCACACATATACTGAATAACATTAGGATCACGTCGATTTTTTTTTAATAAATAATACTTGTTAAGAACATTTATATATAAAAATAAAAGGTCAAGGGGGATAAGAATAGACAAGGATAATAATAAAAATAATGTGAAAACAATTTGACACCTAATCACTCTGGGTAACAAACTAATTTTACCAGGGTAGGTTCAAGGTGAGAACAAACTGTTTTTGAATACACAAAGGGGTTTGAATTTTTGTATGGCTAAGGCTTCAATAAACCTTAGTATGCGCCCTTTTACACTTATATACAACACCACAAAAGCCGAGTTAAGATCAATCTTATGACCTGTTTCGATTATATGTTTAACAATAGAGGATGATGGATATTTATCCTCTATTCTTATTGGGTCATTTGATTCTATTTGTTTTTGCAACCATTTTGGTACATTCATTTAGTATTGTTTGTTTGAATCTTCCCATCGATGTGTTAGGACTGCAACTGGTTAGTCTCTAATTGGCATATGTGCATACTGTGCGTATTGCCTCGATATAGCCTTAATTCACAAGCATGGTAAGCAGAGATGGATAGTGGCTAGCAGTGGAATCCAGTTTGACCCGCGTTTCGTCCTATTTGGTACATGTTCACCCACTAGGGTGGGTGAATATATAATCGAAACACATAAAAGTAATATATAACCTATAATCTTCATCTTTTTATAAGTCTATTCAATGTGGAATGGAAACCGAATTAGGTTCAATAATTAGGTTACTAGAGCATCTAGGTGATAATATGTGAGACTATGTTTCGAACATGACTATTGTCATTGTTTCTAAATGATTATCTAATCGTAATTAGTAAAATTATCTTGGATCATCTTAATTAACTAAGTTAGTTCATAAATTGTCATGCTAACAAGAAAATAATTTTATTCATTAACTCATTTGTTAGTTCCATTGATTAGATGAATTATGACTCAATAAAAAAATTACTTATCTATAGCTTTTTATGATAGAACAAGTTGTAGCGGTAAATAAATTCCCAAAATCAATAACTCTGTAAGTCTCCGACATTTAATGCTGACCACATTGGTTTTAATGGACTCATCTAGCTGAAGGCGCTCGGTCACTATCCGCACCAGATCACGAGTGGGAACGCTGTGCTCAACTTCTCTTAGAATCGCCAGCCAGTTTAGATCAGTTACTTCTCGATATATCGATATTCCATCAAATATATCTTCGGACATCTTCGCTTCTGATTTCATTGGGTGGGCACGTTTCAATTATAGAAGGTGTTACTGGTTAAGGTGCTGTCAAACTCCAAATATTTGTGGCATCTTCAAAGTTTATGAATAAATGTTGACATTTGTATTCAGATAGTTGAAAGATTTTCTGAAAGTAATACGAAGATACACATGACTTAAATACAAATATAACTTTATTCATCGTCTTCACCCAATAGCTAATTCTACGCTACATATATTATCTAGGAGCATTTCCAGTCTAGCGTTGTCCGAAATATGTGAGATGCAAACAAAAGATTCATGGACAGACAAGTTTTCTTATAACTCGATTTGTGAGATAGACCCACCGGATGTTTTCTAAAAAGCTAAATTTACACAAAACAATGACAATTTCTATAATGATCAACATGGTTGTATTCATTTGAGATATTTCGACCTGGTAATCTATTCTGTGCAAAAGTATTTTACAAGCATGATCAGAGGTTATGGGCTCAAATCAAATATCTTATTGGTCGGTATAATAATACTGAAGTCTAGCCAAATTATCCATCAAGCTGAATGTATCCTGGCAGGGAAGACTGATAGCTAGACGTTGAATAGTTGACAAGAAACCTTGAAGGTCAATGAATGTTACCTCAGAATGGTTAATCGATTTCATAGAACAGACAAATGGTAGAGACTCGTCATAGAATGCAAACATTGCCATTGTAATCTGATACATCAAACACACCCATTTTCTGGTTAGCCTTCACCTATTCTCTAAATGTTCCAAGGAACGATAATAATCTGGTCACTAGGTTAGGGTCTGCCAAAGTATTAAGTCACTAGATAGTGTAGTTTCTATGTAAGACTAAGAAGCTTAACCATTCACGTCATTTCAGTTAACTCTAGCGTATAAATACTATTCCTTAGACGATATAAGTAAATTTATTATGCAAATTATAGTTTAGTATATACAAGTCTTATTCTGTTAACAAGACTTTATCAATTATAAATGTCTCTCTCAGCTAATCCAACTTTTTAAGATACACTTAAGAGAGAAGCTGTTATATATTGAAAAAGAGATACTTATTCATTGACGGATTAATAAAAAAACTCAACAACTATCAGGTAATTAGCCTTATCCAACCATCAGTAGTCATAGAACCCCTTACTTAATTCGAAAAATTCTCAACTTATAATTAAAAAAAAGGAAAAATTAACTTTTTCACACTAATTTATACAAAAATTGACTTTATAATGTTCGTGAATCGGTTGAAGTTAGATATTAACACCATCGGATTCCAGCCGGCTCAGTGGTTTAGGGGTTAAGCAATCGCGTGCGAGACTAATATGTCCTGAATTCGAATGTTGCGAGGCGGGATCATGGATGCGTACTACTAAGGAGTTCCAAAATAGGACGAAACGCCCGTCTAGTGCTTCCAGGTTTTCCATGGTGATCTAGCTTCAATTGACTCATGATCTTAACTATTGAAATTATATTGTTCGATTTAGAAATCACTTCTAATCGGCTGATAATTTTATATTGTAAATTATTAAAATAATAAGGTTAAACTGTTGATAAAATGCTAGAAATTAATCTATTAAATATAATTAGGTTAAGGGTTTTTGTAAAAAAAATTTTTTAAATGTTCATCACTAAATGAATAGATAAATCGACAAAATCGTCTGATACAACATAATTATTGAATATTAAAACATTGTGCGTGATATCAGCCCACTAATTTCACTCATAAATATATTATTTGATTATCTTTAATCAATTCCTATTCTCATTTATATTAATCTTCATTAGCAAAATCACACAAAAATCTCTCATTTTGTAGTTGTGTCTCTGACCTTTAGTCTAATATGTCCGTTAAG